AAATCTCCCACACCAAAAAACTTACAATTGGGTAACGCCGCTTCGAACTTTTCACAATTGAGCAATTGTCAAAAATCTGCTTTTTAATCAAAAAATTGTTTATTGAAACTACCTTCTTTTTTATATCATGGATTTAACGATCCTTAGTTAAGTGCCCGTTAGAGCTAATTTAAGGAACGTTTCTGAGTGCGGCTGTTAGAATGGGAACGTACATACCTCTTAGTCAAAAGCGTACAAAACGCTTTAAAGTAAAACATTTACCTATTTGAAACATTGCAAAGCGAAGCAAGCCTGCATTGTGCCAATACCTTAAGATTTCTTTGTGTTTTTTTATTGATGTGGTTTGATTTCGAAAGCGTTTACGTGAAAATGGGGAAATAACTCAAAATAATGATGTGATCTGTAATTTAAAAGATTTCAACGAATACCGTCAACAGCTGCACCGAACAAGGCTATACTATGTATTGCAGGAAATTAATCGTCAGGTAAACTATTTCAGGAACCTTAAGAACTCTTATTAATAAACGCGATCGATCCCAGGAAAATGAGCAACACGATAGAATGCTAATCACTAACGCCGAGGCAATAACTACTCGTGATCACCACAATTTAGCTGCTCGACAAAGCAGTTTTACTGAGATACAGGGACGCAAACGAAAACTTGAGAACATAAGAACCGCCCGCTTTCAGAAATTATGGCAACGTACACAATATAGAATAGAACGCAAGGCGGCTGCCGATGAAATGGAAAAGGCCTATCATGAGTACCGAAAGTTGCTGAATCATATGAAAATTCAGCGTCATTTGGAAGCTTCTGCTGATTTGCAAAGAAAACACCTCATCAAATTAAAGAAAGTACTCCAGTTGAAAAAAGATCGCTTACACAAAAACTTACGCAATGTGGAGTACGAACGGCATCGGAAACATGAGCAAATCCAAACAATTTCTTGGGAAAAACGACTGAAAGAGCGTATAACATACCAGGATAAAATGAAAGGTCTGCTTGAGACAACAGACACACAGAGAAAACTGTTTATTGAGGTGTGCAAATATTTATATATAAAACAGATTTAAACACACACATTTTTCCTAATTAGGATCACCGACAGAAATATAGTGAGAAATGGTCACGTATTCAAGACGAAATCAAGGAACGTGCAAAACTAATGAAAAAACAGAGCAAGCTTCATAAATACCCCAGGGAAAAACTAAAACACATTTTACTTCCTAATCCAAAAACGGATAATGGCATGGCATTCTGTGATAGGCCAAATGAAAGTTTCGACAAACTCTTGGATCATCAACTTTGTGAGGCTTTAAATGTTGCTATTGATATTGAAAATCAGCTGGTTATGCCATTCGAACCAGGTGATCCGATTTACAAGGCGGCAAAATTTATAATAACCAATATTATTAAGATATTTGACAAAGATTTGAGTAAGGATCCTAGAATATGTAAACAAGTGAGAGAACGTGTCGATCAGTTCTTCGATGAAGCTAAACGTTTTGTGATATTTGTATGTGGTTTTTTTTTGCTTAGTATAGTACAAAATAGTATTCTATTCTATATTTCAGAGATCATCTCAAATTAGTGCACATATTCGGGAGCAAGTTGTAAATAATTACGGTACGACGAGCCAGCGACCGACTATTGTATCGTTTAATCGGTTGCCAATGACAATAGGGCAATCCAGTTACGCTATTCACCCAATGGTTGACGTTAAAACTGTAGGGGCTCGAACACCTACGCCAGTGGTAAAGCAGAGAACTAATTTCTGCAAATACAATTACTTAGTTCATAAATCTCTATTTCTTTAGGGCTCGCTCGCCTCCATAAAAGTCCACTCGGAGGAGCACATATTTAATAATATGCCAAATTTGTGCCGCAACGAATTGATTTTCATCGAACATTATATCATCAAATTCAAACGAGAGCTTATAATAGGCGTTGGTAGAAGAGTATTCTCTGCAATCGATTGTCATTTCTCTAATAAAATTATGGATGTGCGCCCATTATTGCTCAGTAAGAATTGTAGAACACATTGCATTACAATAAATATAAAAACAATTCCATATTTCAACAGATTTGAACCGCAATTTCCTTACCTGTCAGATGACCAAAGGTATTCTTAGTTATGCTGCAAACAAATTGAACTATGAATCAAGCATAAAGTTATGTATCAGCGCTCTGGCTAGCGATATTGTTTGGTCACTGCAGAAACATTTGCTGAAGCCGGAACGCGACCCTCGTGGTATAGCCCCGCCACAACGTTGTAACGAGAACTCCTCACCACACGTGCGCCCTTGCTGCTATTTCCACAAGTAAATCACCGAACTATACTTTTTTCAATTCTGTAATTTCTTCAGCTAAAGCAATAAATTCAGCAGCTAATAACTTTCGTTATGGACAATTAAATATACGAATATGACCTTATTTTCACTCACCGAATTTTCGCTAAAAATTTCAAACACAAAATCTACAATTGTAAACAAACATATGTTTTGATGGAATTACATTTGTTTATGTTCTGCGGGATCAGTGTTCGGACGCCACCATCAAGGCTGGCCCTTCACGTAACCGTAGCGCAGAAATCTGTGGAATTTAGATTTTTCCGTGTCAGCTGATTTCGTTCTATAGATGGTTGCCACTTCGTCAGTTTTGCAGATGGTAAAAAAGTTATAATTTCCTATTCAAAATACGTTTAAACTATTTGAAATTTACTAATGAATAAGGTTTTTTGTTGAAAACTAAGTAGTTTATATTTAGCTACGATCTATTATAGAACGAAAAATTGTAGTTGAAAAGGTAAGTTTATGAAAAGGCATTGATCAGTGGCAACACTGTAGTAAGCAACACTGAAGGCTCCAGTAATCGACAAAATTCTGCGTACACAGACTGCGGTTAAGTATACGTTCTGCGTTCTTGACTAATTTCAGCTGTAGCAAAGGTCCAGATAAACACAGTAAAAAATAAAATATAGTGGCAAAATTACAAATATATTAACAGGTGTGTATAGTAACTCCTCTAGTTAAAATTGAAGCCAGAGCGTAAGAGCGAAATAGAGCCTGAAATTGAGAAGAAATTGAGAAGAGAAAACTAGCAGAAAAAGGTATTGAACACAAAGTACTAAAAACTTAGGGAAAATTTTCCAAAACGGATCCAGGCAGTTGGTCTCTCTGATTCTAAATCTACGCTCTGAAAGCTTATAGTTTTTAAGCAATTTGCATTTAAATTTGCAAAAAAAAAAACCAATTCAACTACACTTTTTTCATTGTAGACCAATTGAACGGAAATGTTGGTGCTGCCAAACATAAAAAAAAATCCGAAAAACACAGAAAACGGACATAATAATCGCGTTTTTTATTAAACATTCCTTTAATTTGTCTATTATAATCATAATTATAAGTATAATTAGCAGCAAGAGTTTACGGGGTGTACACAGCTCGGTGGTTAACGCTTCTGACTTTGCACATCGATTACGCAGGTTCGATCCCTGCTGAAGTCTAGAAAAAAGAAGTCTGATGAGATGTGGTGATCTCCAAAATATCTGCTATAACTTCTACCGCTTAGACTTTGTTGCTTTTTAAATTTTTCCTAATAAACAATCGTGGTACAAAGCTCAGTAAAAATATTAAAACAAAATGTTAACTATACAATAAAGCGAATAAGCAAATGGATGTATAGAATTGACAACAACAACCACGCTATCAAGTTTAAATAGCGGCAAATTAGCTGCACTTGATAGTAGTTGGTTGAATAAGGAAAATGAATTAGCAACAAGAGTTTTCGGGGTGTACATAGCTCAGTGGTTAACGCTTCTGACCTTGCACATCGATTACGCAGGTTCGATCCCTGCTGAAGTCTAGAAAAAAGAAGTCTGATGAGGAGATGTGGTGATCTTCAAAATAGCTGCTTAACTTCTACCGCTTAGACTTTGTTGCTTTTTAAATTTTTCCTAATAAACAATCGTGGTACAAAGCTGAATAAAAATATTAAAAATAAAATGTTAATAAGCCACAATAACATTGACAAATACACAGTTTAGGAAGAGCCTGCGTGAAACTAAATATACAATAAAGCAAAAAAAAGCAAATGGATGTATAGAATTGACAACAACAACGACGCTGTCAAGTTTAAATAGCGGCAAATCAGCAGCACTTGATAGTAGTTGGTTGAATAAGGAAAATGAATTAGCAACAAGAGTTTACGGGGTGTACATAGCTCACTGGTTAACACTTCTGACTTTGCACATCGATTACGCAGGTTCGATCCCTGCTGAAGTTATTGCTGCACAATGAACATTTAGGTTTGAGCTCAACTTGAGGTTAACTTGAGAACTAAGGTATTTCTCAAATCTCCAACGTTGTTTCTCAACAGTACCTCAAGTGGAGGATCATAGCTTTCTCAACAAAAAGGGCATTTTTCTCTGTATGAAAAAAAAACTAATTCTCAAGTTGAGAAAATGCTAGTTCTCAACTTGAAGTCCAATGTAATTTTCCAATTGGTCCCAAACATATCATTGAAATACTGAAATTGAGATAGTAAAATACCTTATACCTTTTTGATTGAAACGACATACATAGATGAATTTAAATATTAATTTTTTCTTTTATTACTCCTTTTGTATTATGTAGTTAAGCAAAATCGTATTACAATAATTAACTTCACAGCACACAGTCCGACAGAAATTTTGCCACTTGATTCACTTGGCGTTTTATCTTCTTTCAAGATTATTTGAGGATATTTTGAAGATTATTTACTTTTTGTTGGTAATTTTCCTCTTTATATAGCTTTAGTTTTTCACTTGATAATTAAAAATTCGTTTCTCTATCACTTTTTACGTATCTAGAGATGAGTTGGAGAATGATGTTGGATATCAACTTGAGAACTATGAATTTCTCCAAGGTTGGAGAAATATTTTTTTAGTGTTTATTGGGTGTTTGTTTGTGAAAAGTGCTACAATTTGTAGGCACATTTATAAACGCGTTTTACTTAAGTAAGTGATTAATAGATATATATTAAAGGCACGATCCAGAAAATAAAGGTCGCGTCATTCGCGGAGCGCTAACCCTCTCTTCGTCGATTTGACAGCATCCGCCTAATCGCTGACGTCATAAAATTCTTTTGTTTACATTCCCTGTTGCCAACTTCATGCTTTTCGCACCAAATTTAGTGGGTATTTAAAACGCGAAAATTTTTAAGTTTAGCGCATGGCGCGTTTTTGGTGCTTTTGTTTTTAGTTTGAAGACACCACATTAGAAAATCTTAAAAAACTTGAAGCAAAATTTATAGCAATCATAAGTGTGGTAAGTAACTTTACAAAAATTTAAACAAAATCATGGCACAGCACAACAAAATGTGTGGCAGCACCTTCAATCATGCCAGAAGAAATCAACCGTCGTGGAAGAAACATTGATTTTTATTAATTTGAATCGGCATCCTTACAATAAAATTATGTACGCATATAAATTCTATAAAATACACCAATAAAAATTTGGGGCTTTTTCAAATTTAAAACTTGGCAATACTGCCTTTTGTCCGCTGCTTCCTCTTTTCCTTGCCGAGTTCGTCTTGCTCTCTCATTCTGGTATTTATTGACGTCACGGCCACTTGCTCTCAGCTCGATTGGCGCAATCTTGTATTCTATCATTCTTGTATTACACCATGGTCTCTTATAGATTTACGTTCTTTGTCACTTCGCAATAACGCAGAACGAGAATTGAACCTCTGAGGGTCACTTCCTGTTCTGCGTTATCGTGAAGTGATAAAAATAACACCTTCACACCGGTTTTATTTCGGTGTTAATTTTATACTTTTCACTTCATTTCACGATAACGCAGAACGGTAATTGACCCTCTGGACTGTGTAAGTGCTTGTGTGTAAAGAAAAGAGTTTAAAACTGATTTATAAATAGTAAAATGTTTACAGCAGAATGTCAAAACTGTGCAACAACTATTCACTTGCGAGTTTTGGGATGGCTTTCCAAAACGGAAACATACGAGATTTAAGCGAAAGTTTGCCACCTCGCGACACAGCTGATTACTTTTGTATGGAAACTCTCGTGCGACAAAATTGCGACATTGCCATAATATTTGAGCTGGCAATCATTGCAAACTCGAAAGTCGCGAAACACATGATATTTTATTGTCCTCGAATACTTAAAGAAAAAGTATATTAGTTAAGGCTTCTTCGAAATATAATTGTAAAAGTTTTCTATTTCACTTGCGCTGCGTTTACATAAGACAATTTGAGACAAGACAATTGAAAATATGAATTAGTTGTCAAACTATTGTATAAAGTAGACGTCCAGACAATTACAAAGACAATACACTTTTCAGCAACCGCCGTTAGTGTCGTTTGGAGTGAGATTCATATTATTTATTCAAATATCCAAACACAAACATATTTTTCATAATTCTGCGACTTTTTGCGATTATGTATTGCCTCTTTTTCCCAAATTAACCAATACGTGACCGCATTGTCCAATTTACTGTCCAATTCACTGTCTTCGAAAAATCAAAGACAGTGGCGAAGACGATTAGTGAAGTGTCAATGCATTAGTAAAAAGTGTGAATATATTGATATTGTCTTCGCAAAATGGTCCATTGTAAACCCCAAGCTACGCGCGGTATTTAAAAAAAAATTTACATTTGTAATCCGGACTTGCGATAGGTCGTTCATACCACTTTGTTTGCAACGTTGCCATTTCGCCAAAAATGCCACTTTCCGACGCTTTGTGAATCGCACTACAATATTTCCAACGTTCACTTGCGTATATATTTGGGGTGTTCACAGTTCGTTCCAAATAGTGTCTCAAAATGTAGACGTCTACATTTTAAGACGTTTTCTAACCGTAAAATCTGTGGTGTTGTTGTTTCCCATACAAAATTGGAAAACGACGCCGTCTACATTTTGTCACACTCAAAGGTATGTTTTTTACGCGTCTACATTTTGCAACCTCGCAGCAGGGTTGCATTATGGCAATACTAATCACATTTTTTTTATTTATTGGGCACGTTTTCTGTATTTGCATTTAATTTGAGCGCAATTTCTGATGAAAAGAAACAAATCAAGGAAAAGAAATAACAAATATTACGAATTGGTAATTAAGTTAAATAATTTCAATTTTTCGGAAACAAAATCGAAAGGCGACATAAAAAATGCACGCAAGGAAGAAATGTCTGGCAACACCAGCAAAGTTTTGAGACGATTTTGCGACGACTGCTAGAAAGGGGTGCTCACAGTTTGATGCTAAAGATGTCTCAAAATGTAGACGTCTACATTTTCAGACACAATTTGGAACGAACTGTGAACACCCCAATTGTTACGATTATCCTCGAAACCTTGAGGGATTTCCCAAATATACTCGGGCTCGTATCGCTGGATTGTTAAATAAATGCTAACGATGACCAAATTGTAGTACAATTAACTTTATTGT